CCCCCCCCCGATAGTAGATTCAACTCCTGTCTCAACGTGAGTAATTAATCAATAGTGAACATTTCGTGGTTGTGAATGTTGTATGACTCTGCCCACCCTACCTCCCCTTCCACCCCCCACCCCCAGCCAAATATAACAAACTCTCTCTATCTCACTCACTCTATCTCCCCCTCTCTCCCCCCACAGATATACGGCAACAAGCTAGAGATCTCCTTCTTCTCGGGAGACATGCACGCCGGCCTGTACCAGTGTGGAGCCTCCAACTATCTGGGCACGGCTTACGACACGGTGGAGGTCGCCTATAAACACGACGACAATGGCAACTCCGTCAGCGCAGGCGCACAATGCTGCAGCGTCACTTCCGCCGCTATGGTTGTCATGGCGATGACGATGACGTACTTCCTGTGATTGGTCCCACGCAGAAACTGAAGGGAGACAGAGTTTTCTTCTTTTTAAAAACTTTTGTTCGTTTGTTGCTTTGTTTGTTTGTTTGTTCGTTCGTTTGCTTGTTTGTTTTTAACCCTTGACGTTTCTTAATGTTAGCCGCTAGAATTTTTACTGTTTTCGTTCGTTTGCTTGTTTGTTTGTTTGTTTGTTTTTAACCCTTGACATTTCCTAATGTTAGCCGCTAGAATTTTTGTTGTTTCTGGGGGGTTTTTTCAGTTGTTTTTTTTCTGTTTGTTTTTCAAAGTATTTCTTAGATTATATAATGCCCTGCTTCCTACTATCTGCACTTATGGGGATTCATAAGCCGATTTTAAGAACTTCTGTTGTAACCTTTGCTTTTGTGAAATACGAATTGAAATCGCTTTTGTTGGGTTCAATCTTAAAATTTGCACGCTACAAGATATTTCCCCACCCCACCTCCAATAAATAAATAAAATAAATAAATGGATTAATTAATTCATTAATTAATTAAAATCCAAAAACGTACACCCCAGCTTGCTTCCGCCGTCACTGAGAAAGATTTTTTGTTCTCAAATGGGACATTGTTTTAAAGTTTATATTTTTTTTACAGAGCTACGAACAACTTTGTAATTAATTATACTTTAAAATTTTAGCTCAGAATTTCCAAGAGATTATCAACAGAATTATTCGACTGAACATCATGAACATAATTTACTAAAGAATCATTGGAATGATCGTTTAAGATATTTTCTGAAGAATCACACGAATGAGCTCTTTAAAGATTTTCAGTAGAATCATTTTTTTTGTGTCTGTAAAAGTATTTTGAAGAATTGTACGACTGAGCTTCTTAAGATTTTTTGAAGAATCATTCGAGATAGCTTCCAAAACAAAATCTAAAGAAGTATTTGATTAAGCATCTTAAAAATGTTCGGAAGTAGCACCACCATTGAGCTTACAAAATGTAGTCTAACGAATCACTTGATTTAGTATCTAGAATATTTATATAGAAGTTATATAGAA